ACGGGTGGGACATGTCCCCACCACTTTTTGCCAGGGTCGATATTGTCCCTACCACTTTTTGAAAGTAATTGAAAAATATATTGCGGAAGGTAGGCTATATGTATTAAAGGGAAAACAAGATCAACAAATCATTCTTCATAATCTAATTAGGGTGATAAAAAAAAAACTACTTATGCATGCATAACTCGTGCAGTGCAATAACAACGTGATTTGCAACTGTCGCACTTTTCGTAATGTCATTAGGCTATAGCATTTTATTTTAAAAATGGAGAGCTGCCTGAGAGAGGCCTGCCCTCTACTTTTTCTAGTCAACTAGTCGCACGTTATATTAAATTGATTAATATAATAATATATTAATTATTAAATATATAATTTATAAGCGCCATACTTCAATATAGGCTATAGGCAGACGTATTAGGCTAGAGCCTATTCCGCGCTCAAGCTCGCGCATAAAGCAATACGCGAATATTGACGGTTTTCACGCTTAAGTCAAGTAAAAGACCGCTTCTTAAACCAGAGAAGGTTTTTTCGAGTTAAATTTCGAGTAAAAAAGTCATAATTGAGAGATATAAATTCACAATTTTTTTTCTCGCATTTGCGAGTTTATATCACACAATTCTGACTTTATAACACATTATATACACATTATATCTCACAATTCTGACAAAAAAAGTCAGAATTGCGAGATATAATGTGTATATAATGTGTTATAAAGTCAGAATTATGAGATATAAACTCGCAATTCTGAGAACATATCAGTCTTTTTCCACCCCTCAAAATTGGACTTTAACTCGCAATTGCGAGTTTATATCATGCAATTCTGACTTTATAACTCGCATATGCATGTCATAAAGTCAGAATTGCAAGAAAAAACGTCAGAATTGTGAGATATAAAGTCGCAATTGCGAGAAAAAAAGTCAGAATTGCGAGTTATCTTGCAATTCTGACTTTAGAACTCGCAATTGTGAGTTTATATCACGCAATTCTGAGAAATAAAGTCAGATTTGTGAGATTATATCTCGCAATTCTGACTTTATTTATGAAAAATGTCAGAATTGTGAGATACGAAGTTACAATAACCTTTTTTTATTTTTTATTCAGTGGCGGAAACGGGCTTCCATAAAGTATCTGTATTTCATCAGACTATTTTTAAACTCGCAATTGCCAGTTAATCTCACAATTCTGAGAAAAAAAGTAAGAATTGCGAGGGAAAAAAAGTCAGTATTGTTTTTATCTCGCAATTGTGACTTTATATCTCACAATTCTGTGGAAAAAAAGGTCAGAATTGTGAGATAAAAACCTTTTTTTTTTTCTTTTTTTTTTTAATTCAGTGGCCTTCCATACCTTATGCTATGGAGGCTCTCTCTCTTTTTTTTGATTCCTCAGTGTTTGTTAAACGTTCTGTAATTTATTAGTCATTATATAGCCTAATGCAGCGTGTAGGCCTATGCCATGCCTCATCTTATTCGTTTTTGTTAATAACGTTTTGTAAGCTAGTTTGTCATTGAATACTGTTTTATTGTTGTTGTGCATTTTAATTAAAAATAATTAATCCATCTTTTTTTTTTTGTCTTAAAAGGTGAAAGGTGTATAGATGTAAGCAAAACAGACAATTATATTTTATTGTAAAACCTGGCAAGATCGTGAAATCGAAAGTGAAAGCATCCAAAGCCCGGCTTATAACATAGCAAAAGAGGAACTCCCGTTCACAAAATTCATATCACAAATAATACTACTGATGAAAAAGATCGGGTTGAATGTTAGCTACTTTCGTTTCCATATAACTATAAACTACCATAAAAGTTCATCAGGGTGCATTGATTAACAGCATGTTGTAGCAAAAAAAAAAAAAAAAACGTGCTGGGGCAGCCACCTGAGAAAGTTAATGGCAAAAGAGCGAGCAGGGGGAAGAATGAGTCTGGAGCCCTGAATTGCCCAGCTCCCTGTCAATGATCTACCTGCGTTCAAAATTCTCTGGCCCTGCCCCTGGTACATCGATGTATTTTTGAAAAGCAAAAATTAAGTTTGTTTAACTCTAAACCCAGTCCCCAAGTAAATTAGGTTATTAAATAAAAAACTAGCAAAACGAGTTGCACGGTGTCCCCACCACTTTTCAAAGCAAAGTTACGCCACTGATTAATATACTTCCAGATGATTTAATAATGTTTTACCATTGCTGGTTTTCTCATGCGCTTTGTCATCGGGTCGTAGTTGAGCAAGTCATATGGATCAATCCATGCATCATCCTCATCCTCCTGGTGGGTATTTGCATTTGCAATAACAAACAAACTACAAAAAATTTGCAAACTCCAGAAACCAAACGATGAACAGAATGACACCTTCATAATCTCCACTGGAACAGAAGAGAAAACAAACTTGTTGGTAAAACAACTACTGGTCGATTGTTATAAATGTATATAAAGTTCAGAATCAGCTTTTGTGGAAACATATTGATGGCTAAACATTTTCCGTGATGGAAGAGAGTTGCCATATATTGTCACAATACCGTCACCTATAGATTCATAACCGCAAATATTCCAAATCCGGTTAAACCTTGGGTTCAATTAGGTGAACGGAACGAGACTGCTGTGTTAATAAAAACTTGGACTCATATATATACTACCAGTCAAAAGTTTTGAACAGTAAGATTTTTTTATGTTTTTTAAAGAATTCTCTTCTGCTCACCAAGCCTGCATTTCAAAAGCATTAATAAAACATTTCTGTTCAAAAACTTGTGAAGTCAAGTCATTAGGAAAAACTATTTATATGTGAATAAAAACTATCAACAGCGCTGACAGTGTAGACATATTATGCTGTTTACAATTCCTTTGTAAAAAAAAAAAAAATACAGAACATTAAATTCTACATTGTTTTGTATGTATACTCGACTTGTGAATTGATACATATTTGTCATGCAAAACAATTCTAGATAAGTATATTTCAGTAAAACCTTTGTCTAACTTACCTTGACAAGTAAACCTTGACGCCCTGGTCTCTTTGAGAGTAGAAGTGAGCAGGCAGCTGCATTGATGGGAGGAGTGAAATAAGGGCAGTGACGGACACTTCTCGTAACCGTTCAATTGGATGTAATTTAAGTTCTGTTGCTTTTATATTAAAATAAATCTTTTTTTTTTTTTTTTTGCATTTCCTTAAGATTCTCAGAGACTGTACACTCAAAAAAATCAACTAGCCACTTGCTTGATTTGCAAAATACAAATATGTCTGATTAATATGAATACAACGAGTTTACTTCTGTTAAATGATTCATTCTTGTTATTTGTAACTAAATTAAGAAATAATCAAATGAATTAGATCAGCACTTGTTGATTCAATGAGACTGAGGCGCTTCATATCAACAACTCTCTCTGGTGAGTCACTGCGCATGCTCAGCACTGCGGCGGGAAGTTCGGGAACACGTCACGCAGTGGAGTTTTGTGAGCGGTTTGATATTGAGGGTAAGTACTTGATATGTACCTGTTTGTAATTAGTACCGTGGATTATAGATGAAAAATTAGTTATTAGACACTGTGGTGATGTTTCTAAGCAGACTTATTTTCCCAGACTCGAAGCACATGTGTTGGGTTCAATTCCGTGTCTTCGTCGATAAGAGTTTCACCTTAAGGTTAATATATCCGCTACAATAGGTGCATTTCAGTCACAATTCAATGCTAGCTACGCCTAACTATTAACTACATGACCTACGATAAACCTGAACTCTACATTACCCCAACAATGGGAGGGGAAAACGGGAGATAAAGTGAATGCAGAGTCGATGAATCAATGTGCACTTCTCATCGCTCTTTTCAGTCTAGCTAACGCTTATAGGGCTTTTTTTTTGTATGTTTTTAGTGTGCCAACAGAGGGACTGTTGTCATTAGCCAAATTAACTAACGTTGGCCTGGCCCTATGCGTATGTCAGCAAAATATTACTTTAAACGTTCTATAACTAGACATTTCTCTCTTTTCAAACATAGTTTCAAAATGCCACATAATGCTAACTTACCCAGCTTATTGAATACAGTATGCAAAAATGGTCAAGTAAAATCTATGATGCAGTCGACCATATATTTGAAATGTCCTTACAAATTGCAGTTAAAGTTATGATTGAGTAGGTATGCATGGTTTTATTCAGGGATTATAGTTATAAATAAATATAAGTAAAACTCTTGATATTTAGTAACAGCAGCCAGTAGTGGTCATTTACTTTGGCCCGGTTTTTAAAGTCAGTCTTTGAAATTAGGAGAGTTTTTTCTGTTTTCTGGCCTTAGCATACACATTAGAGTAAGTACATTTGTTGCAGTTTTGCAGGTTAACTTTTATACATTTCTTTTTCACAGCGGAAATGTTCCTTTTTTTCCCGTACAAAAAAAAGAAAAGAAAAGAAAAAGGCTACATCACAATGTAAAGCTGTCCCCATGCTCTTCTGCTGCGAACCTCACCTTTATTACATGGTAAGTAGTTTTTCTTAACACTCACATACAGTAATGTATAACTAACTATCCTTGATTACTGAACTTTCCTTTTCTTTCTCTTTCAGTGACGTGTATGTGGCAGTGCAGGCAGTGTGTTGCAAAGGAGAGTTGTAGGTACAAATTACTTAAGCATTATTAACTAAACCATTGTTTTTTGCATTTTTTCTGTGCTTTTTTTTTGTAGAGTACTGAACTTTTAGTAATGTCTTGCTGCTTAGTGCTGTCTACTAAAACAAATCTAATTGAAACAACAAGATAGATATTCTTTAAACTACCAAAACCATACTTGAACAAGACATTAACTAGTTGATGTAACAAGGCAGAATGTTGTTGAATTGAAGTGCTTTACCGACATTGAGTGAATAAGAATAAATTTGATAAGACTAACACAATACAAACATTTTGATTCAATTAGTTGCAAAGAAGTTATCATGTTTAATCTACAAATGTATATTGTGTTCATATAACATATTCAAAGCAGTCCATGTTTACTTGATTTGATTAGATGCATAATGGGTGCTATGATTAAATCACGTTCATTCAACAATTTATTTTTTTGAGTGTAGCTGTGTCCAAGGCCAGGCCTCCGAAGTGCACAAAGGACGCTCCGCCTTCGCAGGATTTCCTAATTACGACACCAGAGCTTCCCAATTAGCGCTGTGTCACATAGTAACGGTGCAGGAGGAGAGCTGACGAGAGGACAATCCTGCCAGGATAGGTAGAGCCAGAATTGCTAATTTTTGTTTTTATGTTTTACGTCATAATGGAGGAGACGTGATGTACCTCAGGCTTAGCCAAGACCGAGGCCAGATAAATTACACTGGTTTGCTGCGTCCTTTGTCGGATTACAACTTTAAATGCAGGAATTGGCTTGGAGCTTACTTGAATAATGTAATTATACATATGAAAAACTAGGGATGCACCGATATGAAAATTTTGGCCGATACCGATAACCGAAACTACAAAATACGCACACACACACACACACATAGCAGTTCAAATGCTGATATCTTACAAAGGTGCGATTTTATATTGTCTTGACCATGGTGATCCTATGTAGACAGGTTAGCAAAAATAAAACTGAATAAAAAAAATAGAGCATTGTACAGCTCAATGTTCAGCGGCAGCTGTCACAGCTGAACAGTGCTCTGTTTTGACCGGTCTGAGTCCTTCAGATGCAGCCTTTGATATAGTTAGCAACAATTTGTTAATATTCTGACAAAATACTTTAATTTTCCAAATAATCAGAGGTGGACCGTAAGGAAGTATTCTCGAACAAATATGAAGTACTAAGTTTTCTTTTTTTCTCACAGACAGCAACATTATAAAAATATGGTATTTTACAATATGATGCATTGTTGTAGATTAAACTACCCAACAGTATATTTAGTAGGCAACTTTAAATTTAATAACCTTGAACATATTCAGAAGTAAAATGCAACATACACATCACTGCAGCAGTAATATTAATGCAAAACCAGCCTAACGAATAATTTTTCAGAACAATACGGTATACCTTTACTTTTACTCTCAATACCTTAAATATATTAGAGTATGCAAGATAATACTTTTACTTAAAATTTAAATTCTGTAATCATTTACATTGGAATTTTCATTTTTGGGTGAACTGTCTCTTTAGCTAAGGTTATAAATATGACTAGTAGCTTTTCCCCAATATTGTATTGGTAGTTACTAAAAGTAGTTTACTAAAGTACCTCAATATTTCTTCTACTAATTACTTTGTCATAGCTCTAAAAAGTGTCTCTTTTCCTTCTTTCCCGAAATCAGACCAGACCCCTGTACTGCAGTATAAAGCTGAATGTGCCAGCGCTGGACAGGTTTTTTAATGGTTTTCGGTTTAGCAGGGAGGCCCTGACAGTGCTGCTGGATCTTCTGAGCCACAATCCAGACCCTGGTGTTTCTCTTCTGTCTGCCAGTGGTACAACATACAGAGTGGTCTCCACTCTCCAGAGTGTTTGACATGCCTCGTTCCACTGTCCACGCAACACGGTCTCACCCCTATTCGTCACATACTGCCGTTTGGTCATTTCCCCCTCACGTCCATAAGCCGACGTTGAGGGTACCCCCTATTCGTCGCTTGACAACGTAGAGGGTCGTCCGATGTTTGAATGCAAATCCCTCATCTTTGGATTTTGACGAAATGGGGTTATCCATCCAGCGGTTTGCCTGCGCTGGAAAGTATGGTTTGACTTTTTTCTCTTTTTTAATATAATTTTGGGCTACATTAAAACTACACATATATACACACCATGTTTTTTTGTGGAAATAAACTCATAATTGTATTTTGGACGTGTAAATGCTTATTGAGGGATTATTGGGGGAATGGTTATTGGGGATATATATATATATATACAGTGGGTACGGAAAGTATTCAGACCCCCTTAAATTTTTCACTCTTTGTTATATTGCAGCCATTTGATAAAATCATTTAAGTTCATTTTTTTTCCTCATTAATGTACACACAGCACCCCATATTGACAGAAAAACACAGCATTGTTGACATTTTTGCAGATTTATTAAAAAAGAAAAACTGAAATATCACATGGTCCTAAGTATTCAGACCCTTTGCTCAGTATTTAGTAGAAGCACCCTTTTGATCTAATACAGCCATGAGTCTTTTTGGGAAAGATGCAACAAGTTTTTCACACCTGGATTTGGGGATCCTCTGCCATGCCTCCTTGCAGATCCTCTCCAGTTCGGTCAGGTTGGATGGTAAACGTTGGTGAACAGCAATTTTTAGGTCTCTCCAGAGATGCTCAATTGGGTTTAAGTCAGGGCCCTGGCTGGGGGGGTCTGAATACTTTCCGTACCCACTGTATATATAATATAACAGTTTAAGTCTGGCAAGGCAAAGTTTATACAAGTACCCTGATCATGTTATTCCTGTTTGTTTATCCATTTGAATTAAGGCAGAACCAGGATGTGTTCAAAATATCATGATAGAACCCTTGCTCACACAATGACTTCTTTTTAAAATCATTCATTTTTTTATGATATTGTGATTGCATGAATGAGCAAGAGCAGCATTTACTTAACTTCTTAGCCTAGTAGTTATTCATATTGTAATATGTAGTTTGGCGATCTATTCTTTTTTGATTTGTTCTTCTCTTTCTCTGCAGGTTCCTTAATCCCTGTCCTTTTAAAAACACAGCACCTCATTACATCGAAAAAAAGGCACTTTTAAGAGCCACATTTGTCTTGTATCTTGTTACTCTCTCTACTGTTGTATTGTGTTCTCTCTCTCTCTTGCTGTCTTACTGTCTCTCTCCCCCCCCCCCCCCCCCCCCCCCCGGGGGG